TTTTTTAAAAAGGGGAAAAAGGGGGGGGGGGGGGAAGAAGGAGGGACACACCAAACCAAACCAAACAACAGTCTGGATTTTAAGTGGCATGAGAAATCCTTCTAAACTGTAGATATGTATGCCATAGAGGGCCGGGCAAGGGGATGGGCAGGGTGTAGTAACAATTTTTTTGGTACAATATGCACACACTTAAAATAGGTCCAAAAGATGGGATGGAGTAATTTTGTTTCTCCATTTGTCTAATTTATGAAAGAGTATATATGTTATTGTATACATTTTTTAAAAGGTAACAATCTACACTTTGTGCATATTCTGAGAGAAGAACAGGAATACACTGCAGAGTGTTATTTCATTGTTGCTGTTAATAAAAAACTAAGCAATCGAGAAATCACTTAAAAATAATTATGCTAATAATATACATAAGTTGCAATGCAGACTTTTAGCATATGAGCTGGGAGGAAATCTTTTTATCAGAAACCACACCTTACTGAAGCTGTTGCCATTTGGAAATAAGTATGTGGTCCTGCTCTCAGGGTTCTTAACTATGGTGAAGAGGTGGATCCATTTTAGTAAGTATCACTTCCAGAGAACTGGAAAAAACATTCCAGTTTAAATGAAAGTGAAAGCCTACTAAATCTCAGACTCCGTGAAACACTTTCTCTACTTTTTTAAAGTGCAATTCCACAGGTGTAACAGGTATCTCAAATTCCCCAGGAAGTTTTGTAGAGGTCACATTCCCAAAATTCAGAACAACTTGCAGTTTCTTAAAACTACTGCGTACAGTAGAGGTGGAAAACAACTTGCATGTCACTTGTCGGAGCAGCAGAAGCAAAATAACTACACTAAATATGTATCTATACAGACACCCTCCTCTGTACGTGCCTATGTATTTTTTTGTTGTATTTCCTCTCTCTCAACCAGCCAAAGATCTCAAAGGGGAGACGTTTCAAACGTTAAAAGATCGGGTTCTTTAGTGTAAATACACTTCTGCGAACTTCAGACAAACAACTTCCCACACCACTAAGCAAGTGTGTAGTTTAGGAGGACAAAACAACGGCGACTTTGAGAGCGCGACAGCGCTACCCTGCCTTTCTACCAGAGCAGCAGCGTTACCCACCCAGTGGGCAGCAAGCATACATCTTCTTCCAGCCACCTCCTTGCCGTCCGTCACTTCCCAACAAGCTGGGGAAGAAACTCGGACTCTCTGCCTGTGCCACAGGCTCCACACATCTGCCTGTGCGACTGGACACTCTTCCAGTGGCTGAGGGCATGCTTGCTGATCCCACACGCACAACAAGCTGCTTTCACAAGGTTTGCACACTCAGTAGGGATAACTAGAGCTGCAGTGCTGGGGAGGAAAATGAACACCAAACAGAAAAAGCAACCCCAACACTTAACCTTCATTTGCTTGCTGTTGCAGGCAATAGGAAAACCTGTATGGCTTCCAAAGTGATGGCGTGACATCTGAATCCCAGACACTCCATCATAACAAACATCCCTCTCTAAGTGTTACCAAAAATTCCCACTTTGGACTATCTTTCCCAGACAGCATCCGTTTATTCCTTGATAAGCTTCGCCAGTTAAGAGTGTATGAGCTGAAAACAGTAATGATACAAGGGCAAGATGGGAACCCATCATTTTATTAGAACAATATGAAATCTGCCTATTTACTTTATCAGTCCTCTCAATTCTGGAAACCGTTAAATTTTATGTAGTAAACCTGCTTGAAAATAGGTATAACTTATGAAGGTAAAGTTATGGCTGAAACTGAATGATATACTCCAAATCCGAACATATCACATGAACTTCAGCCTAGCTGAGAGCCAGGTGGAGCCGAGGAGAGGATTTGCAGCACGCTCCAGCACTCCACGCACCTTCCCACACCCGTGCTCCTCAGGTTCGTGGTCACGAGCCGCTTGCGGGACAGCAGCGGTGCTGCACAATGGATCAAACCGAGCTGAACAAGTGCTCATTTTTGACTTATGTTGGCGTGCAGTTCACTGTGCTTTTTTAAAGGTGGTCTCTACAAGGCTAAAGGCTTGTGACTGTCCCCAGACCAAAATTAGCTCGATTGCAGCACCCCAATTAAAGCCCACAGAACGTGGGTGGCCCCACCGCCAGCGAGCACGCGGCTGCAAAGAAAGGCCTATTCACCAGCGACCCAGCCCGCCAGTGCCACAACGTCCAGAGAAGCTGAGCTGCAGGCACCAGCCTGACTGACTGACTGACAGAAGGGATTGTTGTCAATGCTTGGGACTCAAATTAGGGGCTATGCTCCAAATACAGCTCATGTCCTGTGTGAAAGCAAGCTTAACATCTGAAAAAAGATGAAGGAACAGAAATACCACAAGATCTTAGAGATGAGAATTTGTAAGTCAAACACGTACTCATTGCAACCCTGCTTTTGCTGGGTTACCAGACTGAGGGCAGATAAGGGCAGATAGCTTTACAAGTTAAACGCTCCACAAGTGGCAAGCAACCTCCTGACCAGATGTGGACAGCTTTGGGGTTTGAAGTCTCAAGCTTCAAAAAATGAAAACAACAATGCAAACATTTGCATTTACATCGCAGCTCGCCAGGAAGCTGTCGTGGAAGATGACGACTGAATCATTTGTCTCTGTGGCAAAGAGCTTCTTTTATGAGTTTATGCGTGCGGGTATTCAGAAAGCATTGCTTTTGTTGAAAAAGAAACAGATACACAAATCAACCCAAGCCAAAGACAGCCAGTATTTCACACCCACGTTACATATAAGGAAATAATGTCATAACTATATGTAAGGACAAAATTTGAGGTAATATAAATCAGATGTACAATTCTATGTTAAGTTATCTCCATTATCCTCCTTTATTCTTCAAGTACTATTAAAAACATGGCAAAACTAAAAAAAAAAAAAAAAAAAAAGAGAAGATGCTTCATTTTTCTGCTGCACTGATAATGGCCGAGAGGACCTACTTTAGATATCATCAAACCACAAGTACAACGAATCAGAAGATGAATTTTGCACTATGGCGTTTTGCCTGTCTATTCATTAAATTGACCCCCAGCTTCTCCAAACAGTTCTGAACTGTCTCACACAAAATCACCACCGGTGTGCTTTGTATTTCTATTTTGTTTTCAAGTTAATTGAGTATTTTAAAAATATCCATATGCAAAACTTTAGCTCCAGCTTGAGAAGTCATTCATTCCCTTACAAAGCACAGAGAGTCAAAGGAATTGTCTGAAATGTTTAAAACAAATCCCTAGCATTATTAATAAAATAGAACAATAAAAGCATTCATAATAATATTTTAAAAATATTTCACTCTGATGCATAAAGAACAAGAGCCAATGTTAATTTTCATAAGTTCCTTTTACATTTTTACTTTTATATGCAAGCCAAAACCTAGAAGACTTTTAAGATAGAGATAAAAGTCTAAACCCATCAGTTTGTTCATTCCTCTTCTTCCTTATTAATAGCCCTACATTGTGGGCTTGATTCCAATACTAATACAACAGGGTCTAAACAAATGTGGACTGCCATTTTAGTTTCACAAGTAGGAAAAAGCATACAGCTATTTGATACCAAAAATAATAAGACAATGCAATTTATAATAAGCCTTCAGTTATGTGCCACTATGTCCCATTTTGATGTAGACGGGTCCCATATTTGAAACAGCTTACGTGAGTAAGGAAAAAAAGACACAGCTTTCAAATTTATTCTTACTGGTATGTCTGTAATTCAGCAGCCACTGATGTGCTCTTAACTGCTTTAGGTCCGTAATATTTTTAAAACCAAGACCTCGTAATAAACTCTTTCTCATTTTGTTACAAATTTAACAGTTAAGCAAAGCCCTACCATGAAGACTCCTTTGCACCAGTTGTGTTTATTGCCATACAAACTGCAATGTTCCAGCTATATAATCCCACAGAT